GAATCAGTTCTATTTCAGGCAACAGAGTTGACAGCACATCAAAGTAACCACAAAGTTGCTTTCAACAAAGTTGAATAGTGGATGGTGGGCTTAAAAGCACTGGAAACTGCTGAAATCATGATCAGGGGGCTAGATAACTTTGTTAATAGGCTTGGTAGTGATGCAAGAGTCCAGGACTTCAGTAATTTTTTCTGAGCCCAGCCCTGAGGGGGGTGCTCAAGCCCCCTCAGCCCCCCCCTAAATACGCCTCTGTTCCTTATAATGTGCAGACATTTCAATAAACTTCATGTTATTTTGTTCAGCATACTCCCTGCCTTCTGATGGTGAGATTCTCCACTGTTCGTTAGTCTTATCACATTTATTAGCAATTAAAATCATCTGGATTCTTCTATCACCTGCATTATTTTCTATCTCTCTCTCTTCCATTCTCCAATGTGGTAGAATGAATCTTGATTAGTAACATCGTAAACAAGACAAGCAATGTCAGTCTCTTTATAGAACTGACGTGTTACAGACTTAAATCGTTCACTACCAGCTGTGTCATGCACGTATAGCTAAAAGAACACATTATTATTCTATATTAAACTTATAATCCTAACCAAAACTTTTTCATCTGAATCTTTGGTGTATATATACAATATTCTCTTTCGTCTCGACACCAATTGTGGAGAGTCTTGAGGTCAACCTTGTGATGCATATATAATTTGAATATTGATATCTTGCCTACATTAGAATCACCAATAAAGATTACCTAGAGAAATCATAAATCATTAGATATTCACTGGTTCACAAAAATCCTATCATCTCTTACCTTAAGCGTTTTTTCTTCGAGGTTTGGGGCCATATAGCTCCTTGTAGGAGGGGCTGGCTAGCTGCTGCATCCGCCCTCGACTAGGCCACATTCCTCACTTATTACAATGACATTTTTGTGAATTTGAGAACAGCATTCAGCCTAATCCACCTTACCCACATCTTGAGTGGACAATTGCATCAGAAACTAACAAGAATGTCACTTGTCTGCAGGTTTTAGGAGCTAAAAATACAAATGCAGTTTAAAGTAGTGATGCACTTTAGCGGTATTTTGTGCTTACATTATTCAAGGGACAAATAGAATGGACAATATAAAAGTATATAAAAGTAATTGTATAAGTAGTCTTTAACAATAACGGCATCGACTTCTTTTTTGCTCTTGTTGCTGCACTAGACCATCATGAACTGGCTCATCCAGAACTATTCTTTCATCTTCTTGCTGTACAGGTCCAGACATAGTATTACGTCTTTGACGTACAATTTCAGTTGTAGCTTCTCGAATGACAGAGTCCACCTTATCATAATCATCTCTTCTATTTGCAGACATTTCAACAAACTTCATGTGATGTATCTCAGCATATTGTCTGCTTGTTGATTTAGGGTTGATTCTCTCTTCGTGAAGATCATCCTTGTTGCCAATGAGAATCATCATCACGTCCTTTTCATTATGATTCAAAACTTCTTGTCTCCAATCCTGCTCAATGTGGCGGAATGAATCACCATCAGTGATACTGAACACAAGAAGAGCAATGTCAGCATCTCTAAAAAACTGTTTTGTCAATGTTTTGTAGCGTTCCTGTCCTCCTGTGTCGTAAAGGTGTAGCTAATATTATAGATTATTAAACTTAATTTCATAAAAAGCAGCTTACTTCTACTGTTGTGTGAGGAGTCATAGTAACAATATTAAAACTTTTAATAACAGGGTCCATTGTATGCTTAGGAGATTTGGCCACTTCATGAGTTCTATATAATTCGAATATTGATGTTTTTCCAACATCAACATCACCAACAAAGAGGACCTATGACTAATAATGAACGTTTTGCTCTTGCAATCTTTTATCTTACTTTTAGTTGCATCGCTCCTCCAGCACTAGCCATTTTTGATAAAGAGAGAGTCGAGGAGAGAGTAAATACTACTGCAGCAGTGTTGGGCGTGGCTGTTTAAAAAATATGCGTAGGTGTTGGATTTGCCATTTAAACTCTAATAATCCGAATAGTAATATTGAATAGTATAAACCCACGTGTTAACAATTGCATCAGGTCAGAGGATTGAAGAATGTCACTTGTCTGCAGGTTCTATCGTCACAAATACCCTAAACTAGAAGATGTGGTGATGGTCAACGTTCGCTCAGTAGCTGAGATGGGAGCATACGTCAGCCTACAGGAGTATGGTAACATAGAGGGGATGATAATGTTGAGTGAATTAACAAGACGTCGAATTCGCTCAATAAATAAACTAGTTCGTATCGGGAGGAGCGAGTGCGTAGCTGTTATCAGGGTGGACGAAGATAAAGGTGGGTGGGGTTGAGAGTTTAAGCCACACCCAATTAGACCACACCCTTTAGGATACATTGATTTGTCCAAGAGGCGTGTCTCACCGGAAGAGATTCAGAAATGTGAAGATAAATTTTCAAAAGCAAAGGCAGTGAGTAATATACAATAAAGATACCTTTATGATGAGAAACACAATTAAAGCATGTCCAATTATATATTTATTTATATTTAATTTATATTATTATTATTAAGACTGCTATCTTATTTAGGTTAACAGTATCTTAACAAACGTTGCCTCAAAGTTAGGCTACAGTAATGAGCAGTTGGAGTCTCTTTATGACAGAACTGCTTGGAAGTTTGAGGACAATACCGGTATCCCTGGTAGCTCGTACGAGATATTTAAAAAAGCCGTAACGTAAGAAGCACCATCACTCTATCAAGATCCAATTCCTTCCTTCTCTATTAGTGATTCTAGTATATTAGACGAATGCACTTTAACTTCAGAAGAACGAGAGAAATTAGTAGCTAATATACAACACAGGTTGACACCACAGCCAGTCAAAATTAGATCTGGTAGCACAAAAATATTGTAGTCTTTATTTTCCTTTCTTTTAGATATTGAGGTATCATGTTACAGTTATGAAGGTATTGATGCAGTAAAAGCTGCACTGAAACAAGGACTGAAGCAATCTACTGAGGACATGCCTATAAAAGTAAAAAATAATGATTCTTTATTTGATTAATTTTCTTTCTTAGATTAATTTGATTGCCCCACCCCAGTATGTTGTCACGACGACCACATTGGACAGAGCGGAGGGTATAGCCAGGCTGAACTCAGTCATTCAAATTATAAGAGAATCCATTGAAGAAAGTGATGGAAACTTTAATGTAATCCTTGAGGTAAGTAATGACATATAATGTAATCCTTAAGGATTGTCCCTTTTTCCTTTTCCCCTCTCTCCTCTAGCCTAAAGTAGTGACAGTTGGAGATGATGAAGAGCTAAGGGCACAAATGGAGGAGCTAAGATTACAGAACCAGGAGGTGGCAGGAGATGATGATGGATCTGATGATGACGCTCCAATGGAAGATAAAGCAGAAGGAGACTGAGCTTGGGGGAATGATTTTAGTAATTATTTTTATTGTAAAAAATAGCAAATATCCAAAGGAGCTCTTTTTCGATCAGGAGTACTATGAAATAACAATAATGTTTCTTATAACTTTCTTTTGCAAAATCAATTTTCCAATGTTTGTAAACATGGCTCCTCTTTCTCCTTTTGAGTTTGATGGCTTCATGTCTCATGCTCCTCCTCTTACCACACAAGACAAAAACATTCCTGCGCATTGCCCGGTACCACAACAAGATGTTGACTGCTTTCTTTATCCTCATAGCTGCAGCTACCATTCCTCTCTCCTCATCTTCATCTTGCTACAACTCCAAGGGACAGCCAATTCTCTGTAGCCCGCCAAAGATAAGTGACATTTTGAATGGGATTACACCACTGGCCTCTAGTACATGCGGGGAGAGAGCAGTAGAGAGGACATGTCAGAAAGGAGGACTTCATTGCAGTGCCTGTGGAGATGGTAACAGCTCTCTTCACCCGCCAGAACACATCACAGACTCTGACCCACTTACTTTCTGGCTCTCTCCTCCTTACTCTTCTCTCAGTGATGGAGCTGGTAACATGAATGCCAATATCTCTTTTAATTTGAACAAAACTTTCATAATTGACGAAATAAAAATACTATTTCGTAGCCCCAGACCACATTCATTCTCTTTACATGTTTCGTCTGATTTTGGTGGCACTTACTTCCCTCTTCGTTACTACTCCTTGTCCTGTCTTGAGACTTACGGGATAGAGGAAGAGAGAGGAGAGAGTGAGGGAGCAAGGTGTACTTCAAATGGTGTAGGACTCATACCATTAACTGGAGGAATGGCTGTTTATCGCTCAGAATCAACGATATCTCGCTGTCACTAATATTCAAATACGGCTACACAAACTAGTCTTGCTGCCCGACATTGAAACATGGAATGAACTGGTACTGGATAGTTATTACTATGCTCTTAGCTCGGTTGAGGTTTCTGGATATTGTCATTGTAATGGACATGCTTCTTCATGCATGAGAGATGCTAATGGAGGTTATAGTTGCAACTGTGAGCATAATACTACCGGAGTAGACTGTCAGGCTTGTTTACCGTCTCGTAATGATTTACCATGGCAACCGGCTACGAATGAAAACACTGTAATTGAATGCAGGAGTAAGAATGCTAATGTTAACTATTAAGTTTTAATGACTTTATTGTAGATTGTAATGGGCTCTGTGGCTGTCAAGAAGGTCTGGGTGGAGATGAATGTGACACCTGTTTAGCTGGTTACTATAACAACAGTGGTAGTTGTACACGTAAGTCAATTGGAAATTATAATGAAAATAATAATAATTATTATTATTATTATTATAATAAAATTTTTAGGATGTAATTGTAATTCAAATGGATCGGATGGTTGTGATTCAGATACTGGAGAGTGTTATTGTTTTGATGGTTATTCTGGTGTTGAGTGTGAGCTGTGCCCTGATGGAACTCATAAAATAAATGAAGGATGTACAGGTATAGATAATGGTTCATAAAATGGTCGTAACTTGAAAAATTTAAGTCGGAATCGGCTCAAACTTTCTACACAGCATAAGGACGTCAATATGTATCAGAAAATGTAATAAAAATTGGGGGTCATTTTTTGGTCATTTTTCGGAAAAAACCATGGGCTATAGCCTTGGGTACTTTTTAGATTTTGGTACTTTTCTTAAAATGGCCGTAACTTGAAAAATTTTAGTTGGAATCAACTCGAACTTTCTACACAGCATAAGGACGTCAATATGTATCAGAAAATGTAATAAAAATTGGGAGTGATTTTTTGGCCATTTTTTCGAAAAAACCATGGGCTATAGCCTTGGGTATTTTTCAGATTTTGGCCTATTTCTTAAAATGGCCGTAACTTGAAAAAATTAAGTCGGAATCAACTCACACTTTCTACACAGCATAAGGACGTCAATATGTATCAGAAAATGTAATAAAAATTGGGAGTGATTTTTTGGCCATTTTTTCGAAAAACCATGGGCTATAGCCTTGGGTATTTTTCAGATTTTGGCCTATTTCTTAAAATGGCCGTAACTTGAAAAAATTAAGTCGGAATCAACTCAAACTTTCTACACAGCATAAGGACGTCAATATGTATCAGAAAATGTAATAAAAATTAGGAGTGATTTTTTGGCCATTTTTTCGAAAAAACCATGGGCTATAAGCCTTAGGTATTTTTCAAATTTTGACAAGTTTCTTAAACTCAAAAAAATGTATTGAATATTGCATAAGAGTAAGCTTTTTTTTGATGATAACTCAGTAAACTAATGATACCCAACTTGCCGTTATAATAATATGATTATTCTTTTCTCTTTGTAGATTGTCCATCTTGTTATGACAATATTTCTGTTGCTTATAACACAACAGTCAGTTCACTTGAGTCACTAACAGAAGCAATTATCAACTCCTCCACATCAAAAGAAATTCATCCATCACTCACAGATACTGTAATGAGCTTGCAATCCAACCTACTTAATCTTAAAGAATTATTAATTCATTTAACATCTCGACAAATGCAGCTGTTTTCCAACCTTTCAGAAACAAACAGTGAACTGGTAGAAACAGTGGAAGAGGTAGACATTTTTGCTAATTTTATAAAAGAGATAGAAACATCAGCTAAACTATTAAGAGAGAAAAGAGAGATGAATGATGAATTGATTAATAACATCACTGAACAACTGAGCCTCATTGAGACACTATTGAAAGTTAATGCTACTCAACACTTAAAAGCATCACTAAATATAACAAAGAGAATCGACATTGTTATATCTCAGCTTGCTAACATATCAATGGAGGCTGAAGCTGCAGCTAATGAGCAATCAGTAACAGTTAGAGAATTATTAAGAAATGGACTGATTCTATCTGATAACACCACAGATCTACTGCAGTCAATAAATGAACTAGTTGACATTGAGAACAGCACCCTGGACCTATTAAAGGGACTTAATGATTGCTCTACTAGTAACCTCTCCAGTCTTGTTGCTGAAGGAGAGATAAAACTGAGTCAAGTTATTAATGACACTGTGGAAGTATTAGAAGCAGCAATGAGTGTGTATGATGATGTGGAGAACATAGAATTTATTGAAAGAGGAAGAGAGCTTTTGGTACAGTCTCTGCAGCTGGTAATGATTGCTAGTAGGACATACAATGAGACTGTTAACGTGTCTATTGCTAGTAATGAAGTGAGAGAAGCTTTTAATGTCCTTTTCAATGATGGACAGGATCTACTCTCTACTGCTTCATATCTTAACAACACTGCACAAGAGATATTGGCTAGAGAAAAGGAAGCTCTTTCTTCTGCTAATGCATCACTGAGGGAAGGAGAACAGATCATTAAAGAAGCTGAAGAGGTCTTGAAACGAGTCGAGGAAGAACTTACAAGAGCTTTGGCTTATGTAGAGAGGCTTAATAGATTGAGGCTACTTGTTGAAGAGGCAGAGGAAGATTCAAATATGACGCTTTCCCTTGCAATAGAAAGAAGGAGAAGAATTAATGAACTAAGTAATATTATTTTAGCAACAGAGAGCATATTACTAGGAACAATAGAGACTCTGGATATTATAAATGATGTAAGTATAAGATACTGTAATGTCTTGGTTTTATTTTTTGACATTTTAGGCGCTCAATTCAACTAATGCAACTGTTTTGATATCTCGTTCAGAAGCCACAGAACTTCAAGAAGACCTTAAAGTTATTCAGTTGGAGGAGACAGAGAACAAACTGAGAGAGTTAGAAGAGAGAGGAGAGAAGGAGAGACAGTCACTGCTTAAAGCAAACACTGGATTAAATGCTGCAATTGCTAATGCTGCTAGGACTAATGATAGTATAGCAGCTCTTTCAGCTCAAGTTGAGCAAGTTGAAGAACGAATAAACTCAATAACTTTTGCTGATTCTGCAGCATTGGATTCTCTAGATAGGGCGCTTAGTAATGCAGAAGCAGCTTGTAATGCAACAGGAATGGAATTAGAAGAATTGAAGTCTGAGATATCGGTACTGGAATCAATGTCTGAGAATCTGAAAGATAAGTATGTCAACTTGCAACTCCACCGTGACCTGCTCAAAGACATGAGGGATAATCTTGATACACTTGACTGTGAAAATGAGTTTCAATAGAGAGTTAATTAGATATAATTATTCATTAGTAGTGCCACCTTTTTAAATATTCATTGATTGATAATTTTCAACCAATCAAATCATTTTAGTCACGTGTCTTTTAGTGCAAGCAATTCACATCATGGGGAAACTTAAGAAACAAAAGGTACAAGAATTAGTCTTTTCTCCTCCTAATGCTTTATTCTTTGTCTGTAGAGGAGTTCATCCAAACGTAAGAAGTTCCAGAGAAGCAATGAAACACTGTCCAATACCACAGTGAACAAATTGAAACAAAACAGGTTGGAAAGAAATAAGAATGAATTAGTTGTAGCCAGAGTATAATGGGCGTAGCTTGAAGTAGGGGATAGAAGCTACAAAAACTGCTTGAAAATTTGAATTATCAGATAGTACAGACTAAAATTTTATGCCGTTAACTAAGATGTTTCACTTTAAAAGGACTAACCCTCATGCTAACGTAAAGTTGTCTGGAAAGAAAAGAAAGAAGCTCATTAGGGATGCAAGGAGAAAGCAAACGGAGCAACAGAAACAGGAAGAAATGATGGAACTAGCAATGGCTGAAGTACAACAATAATAACAATAATATTAAATAGTTTTAAAAAAGAGAGAAAAAACTACTACATTTTGATAATATATCCACACAGCAAAACAAGAGTAAATGGTAATAATAATAATAATAATAGTAATAGCTATAGTTTCTAATTAAAGTGCAGCTGCTAATAACGCCATTACTGAGGTCTCTGTGGGATTGATGGGCGGGGAGGGACCGGCCTTCCCCCACCACCTCCAGGTGGTCTCCTAATAATTAATTTTTATCATAATTAAGAGCTCGTGAATAATTAATTAATTAATGAATATATAATGAGACTCACTGTGGTACATTAGGTCTTCCTGGAACGTTTGGTCTGTCTGCAGACGGCCGACTACAAAAAATTAATAATTAAAAGTGGGCGGAGTTGTACTTACGTTGGTGCACGTGGTGACGTTTGTGTGTTGTTATTAGGGCGAGCTGGTGGGGGGCGGGGCATGCTAGCAGTGCTGTGTGGGCGGGACGGCTTAGGGGGAGGGGGCAGGTCCTCGTCAATATTCACGGGAGGAGGAAGAGGAGTATGAACTAAAAATAAAATAAAATAAAAAGTAAATAAATACATAAATAAATTAATAAAATAATAAATAAATAATTATTTTTATTGAACCTGTCTTGACGTTGATGTCTTGTACTAGACCCAGAGCGTCTTTGCAGGCGTGATACATTTTAATCATCTCCTCTCTCCTAGTTGCTGCCTCCTTGCTCTCCTCCATTAGCGAATTCTGATCTCCAGCTGCATATATCATGGCTATTAGTTCCTTCTGAATGTAAAACTTCAACTGAGAGAGGGGGAAAGACGGCAAAGAAAGAGGGTGGGGAGAGAGAGAGAGAGAGAAGAAAAAGAAAGAGGGGAAGGAGAAGAGGATTTAGGAGAGAAAGGAAGGAATAAAAAGAGTAAGTAATAATATTTCTCTCTCCTCCATTATTCCTTACCTTGTTCACCATAGTGTGCATGATAGTCTTTGGTATTTGATCTTTGATGGTTTTAATAACGATATCAATGTAAGACTCAACAAGGTTCTTAATCGTTTCGACCTGTCGTTCCAACTGCGGGTCTAAAGAAGCCATATCAGGATCCTAAAATTAATAATAATAATAATAAAATAAGTTTTTCATTTATTGACATACAGGAGCTGAGCTTTTCTCAGCTTCTGGGTAAACTCCGGCCCTCAAGAAGGATGCCTTCCATGATTCCATTTCTTCCTCCGATTGAGCAACCAACTGCAACTGGTCCTGATCCTTGTAGACGTTCCTATAAACCACACCCAATGCCACGCCCACTCATTAATTAATACCATTACCTTCCAGTCGTGTAGTAAATGGCAAAGGCGTATTTCTTTCCGATGGAGAAGCGTCCGCTTTCAATGTCACGAACTTTCATGTCTTCAAGTCTTAAACTATACTTTTGCTCTTTCTCCTACAAGAACAATTAATTAAATAATTATTAATTAACTAATTGACTATTAATTAGTAATTAACTATTAATTAATTGGTCATCAATTAATCAATCAATTAATTAATTGTTTAATCTGTTACCTCTGAGTCTCTGAAGAGTGTTAAACTCTCAGACGTCAACACGAACCAGTACTCCCTTGAGCTTCCCTTTATGAATGAGACTACCATGCTGAGCCATCCTTTCCTGATCACCTGGTTGCCCAACGTCTTGGCTTTCTTCCTCCCTCCACCTCCTTTGGCAGCACTGGAGGGAGAGAGAGAGGGAGAAAATTTATTTAATATTAATAATTTATTATAATATAATAATATATATGTATACTGTATGTAGTGCTGATATTATAATAATTGTGCGATAAATATTATAATAATTATAATATTTATCAGCACTTGAGAGAGAGAAAAGAGGAATGTTATTATTATTAATTTTTTATTATTGTTGTTATTTATTTTCTTACGCATCAAAGCCAACAAAGTCCTGATGGTTAGTGTTCATGTAGGATAACTCAATCTCTATCATCAAAGTAATCTAAACAACAAATAAATAAATAAATAAACAAACAAATAAATTAATATATAAATATTAATTAATATTAAAATTAATATTAATATTACGTGGTCCTTTGCTTTCTGTTCTTGCTCTCTTAAAAATGTTGACAGGATCCTCTCAGTCTCGTCTCTTAGCAACGGATAACGATTCATCTAAACAATGAATGAAACAAGTCAGTTTAGAGCAACTTTAAACATTCGTAAAAAATCTAATTTTAATCCGAATGAGCTCAAACTTTCTATGCAACATAAAAACATGTATATGTATCAGAAAATGTAATAAAAATGGAGAATTCTCACCTTTTCATTTTTGGTGAAATTTGGCAAGTGACCCTGTACTATAGTACAGGGACTTTCGTCCGATTTTGGAGTAACTTTAAAAATTCGCAAAAAATTCAATTTTGATCGGAATCAGCTCAAACTTTCTACGCAACATAAGTACATGTATATGTATCAGAAAATGTTATAAAAATGGAGAATTCTCACCTTTCCATTTTTGGTGAAATTTGGCCCAAGACCATGTACTATAGTACAGGGACTTTGGCCCGATTTTGGAGCAACTTAAAAAATTCGTAAAAAATCTAATTTTAATCGGAATCAGCTCAAACTTTCTACGCAACATAAAAACATGTATATGCATCAGATAACATTATAAAAATAGAAAATTCTCATCTTTTCATTTTTGGAAAAATTTGGCCTGTGACCCTGTACTATAGTACAGGGACTTTGGCCCAATTTTTTAATAACTTAAAAGATTCGTGTAAAATCCAAAAATACATGTAAGAGTTTCCTATGCTCACTTACCCCATCTGCACAGTTCTTCACAGCCGTCATAAGTTCTGCTGACACCATGTCAACACATTTCAGTGCTGGAGACAGAAGCTTCTCAATTTGGTTCTTCGTAATGGCTTCAAAGGCCATATCAGGAGTAAACAGACCAACTCTAACACCCTGTATGTTCTGAATGGTGAACGCTATCTCCTTTCTCATGGCCTTCTCATCTTTCTCAAACTAACAAAAATAATAATAATAATAATAATAATAATATTAATAATAATGATGACAATAATTATATTTGTAGTAATTAAAGATTGTCAGAAACATTTTCTTAATTTAATAATGACGGAAAAATTTGTGTTACATTACCAACAATCAAAATATCATATGAGCCATATCAAATTACATTTGCAAACAGCCAAACTAAATATACTAAAATATACTAAAATATACTAGAGTAAACTGGGATGTGCACCACGCCTTACCTTGACTAGTTCAAAGGGGAATCTCTCGTGAAATATTTTATTAATTTTAGCTCCACACGTTAGCTCCGACATGACAACTTCAGCTCCTCCTCCTCCTTCGATCGTCCTCTCAAAATCGTCACCAAAATTTTGAATAAGACTAAAGAGAGAGAGGAAATTGAAAGAAGATAGACATTATAAAGTTCCCTAAGCTTACGTAAGGAGAGCTTTTGTCTTGATGGTTGGATCGTTTGGATTGAATCTTTTATATTCTTCAACCTCCTTCTCCATGGCAAACACTTCACTTTGTAACTTTGATCTCAAAGATGGTAGAGTATCACGAATATGATTAATCAGTGTCTTTAAAAATAATAATAATAATATTTATTTATATTGTTATTTTTATTACTTACCTGGTTCAATACTTTCTGCAGGTATGGGGTACCAAGCCTATCCGCCATATGCCTGTTTAAGAAACCAGTCAAACCGGTTTACAACACCCTCCCTCGTCCCTTTACCTGTAAGCACTGTGAGACAGAAAGAACTTTCTCTCGCCAGCAAGAGCTGCTCGGATATCCTTACTACCATCGATATCCTTCTGACTACGATTCACAACACCGATATAACCACGTCTTAAAGAGAAGACCTTGTTCTCCAGAATGTCACGTGCGTCAGTACCTTCGTCCATCAGATCAAGTTTTGTCAGTACACCTATGGTTCTTATACCTTTTGGAGGAGAGAGAGGGAGAGAGAGAGAGAGAGAGAGAGAGAGGGAGGGAGAGAGAAAAAGAAACTTAAAAGGATGGAGACAATATCTAGTCTCCTACCTTGTGGGTCGCATTCCTTAGCCAGTTTGAGAGCGTCTGAGGTTGCAAGATCAGAATTAGCCGGAGTGACAGCCAGTATGAGTGTATTCTCTTTTGTAATGAACTGGAGCAACATGTCTCTTATCTGGAACTCAATATCTGGAGGCTGGTCTCCAACTGGGACCTTCGTCATACCAGGCAAGTCAACAAGGGTAAGATTAAGAACTGGGGAAGAGTTTTAAAAGTAACGAGAGAGAGAGAGAGGGAGAGAGAGAGGGGGGTAGTAAGTAAATATGTATCAGGTGATAGTCATGAGACATACCATGCGGTGAATAGACCCTCAGGTTGATTGGTACGGCTGATATTCCTTTCTTCTTTCCCGTTATCCTATCAGTCTCGGCCTCAATCTCTTTACGTACTTCGTTAAAATCCGTAAACTTCTTTCCCTTTTGATGTAAAAACTCGGCATATTCTAAGAGAGAAAGACAGATATGTAACATGTTCTTGCTTTTAAAAAGGTTTTTACCAGCTTTAGCGTTTATTAATTGCAGGATTAGCGGACGCCTTGTGACAATTCCGGACCCACGTGGCAAGAAATCCCTAAACAAAAACAATTTTAACTAATAGAATTAACGAGAAAAATTTCAGTTTCAATAGCAACAGGTTAAAATGTAAACATTGATTTATTTGAAATATTTAAAAGAATCCTTAAATCCTTACAACTATATTAATTGTACATTAGTTATAAGTTCTCACTTTCCAACGCAGTTCTCCAGTACTGAGCTCTTCCCGGCAGACTGACCGCCAACCACAGCTATTTGAGGTAGATCGATGGGGCAGACCATCCCCAGGCTACTGAAGGCGTCCTGGAGGCTGTTGACGAGTGGGATAAGGTCCTGCATCTCTTGATTGTGAGACATTTTGAAAGAAAATGAGGGAAAGAGAGAGAAGGAGAAGGGCAGGAATTTGCGTCGGCTGCTACGCCCTTATGAGTGGGTGGGGATAATTAAATGGGTGTGGCTAACTTGCTCATTAATTATTCAAAATGGCGTCTAGTATGGAAGCTCAAAGAAAATCACTTCCCATATACTCCGCGCGAGACAGACTCATCAGAGAGATAAAAACCAACCCTTGCTGCATAGTAGTGGGGGAGACTGGGAGCGGGAAGACAACGCAGATACCACAGGTGAGTTAAATAAGAAAATTAATAATTAAAAAATTATAAATTTGCACTAATTTTATTAATTAGTATTTGCATGAGACTGGGCTAAGCAAGAAAGGTCTGATAGGTATAACGCAGCCTCGACGAGTGGCAGCCATTAGCATAGCAACCCGTGTTGCTAAGGAGCAATCGGTATCTCTTGGAGCCGAGGTATTCCAATTAATGCACACTACCACATCATGTGATCATCACATGACAGGTGGGGTACGCCGTGAGGTTTGAAGACTGCACCGGACCCAGTACCAAAATTAAATATCAAACGGACGGTCTGCTACTGAGAGAAGCCATTCAAGACCCTCTACTATCAAGGTACATGATTAATAATAATAATAATAATAATAATAATAACATTTATTAGATACTCGGTAGTGATACTAGATGAGGCTCACGAAAGGACCGTACACACTGACGTGTTGTTTGGAGTCATTAAAGGAGCTCAGAAGGAGAGAAGAGAAAGGCACATCAAACTATTACGTATTGTCATCATGTCTGCCACACTAGACACCAGCTCTTACTCTAACTACTTCAACAACGCTAAAGTACTCTACATTCAAGGACGACAGTATCACGTCAACGTCTATTACACCTTAAAACCACAATCCGACTATATTCATTCGGCCATTACAACAGTACTCCAGCTGCATGGAGAAGAGGAGAGTGGAGAAAATGGAGACATTTTGGTTTTCCTAACAGGTCAAGACGAGATTGAGTCAATGCTTCATACACTGATACAGTGCAAGTCTTTATTTCCGTCTCATTGGAAAGACATGATGGTACTGCCTCTCTTCTCTGCTCTACCTTCAGCTCAGCAGCAAAAAGTATTTCAAAAGCCACCCCCAAACACTCGTAAAGTGATCCTTTCTACTAACATAGCAGAGACTTCTCTTACTCTCTCTGGGGTAAAGTATGTCATTGATACAGGGATGGTGAAAGGACGTGGGTACAACCCATTGATGGGTCTTGATCTCCTACTGGTACAGCCTATCTCAAAAGCACAGGCGAGACAGAGGCTTGGTAGGGCAGGGAGAGAGAGTGAGGGATACTGCTATAGATTATACACTGAGGAATCCTTCCTGCAGTTGGAAGAGAATACTGTTCCTGAGATACAACGTTGCAATCTCTCCAGCGTACTACTCCAGCTGCTTGCAATGGGTATTAAAGACATACTCAGTTTTGAATTCATGGATCAACCTCCGGAAGAAAGTTTGATAGCTGCTCTTGAAGAACTAGTGCTGCTGAAGGCTGTGAATAAAGAAGAAAATGGAGAAGAGACATTAGAACTTACTCCATTAGGACAGAGAATGAGCTCTTTTCCTTTGTCTCCATCTCTGAGCTCTTGTCTCTTAGCATCAGTGGATTATGATTGTGTGGTTGAGTTAGTGACACTAGTATCACTGCTATCAGTTGATACTGTGCTGTATACTCCGACTGATGGAAGAGAGAAAGCTGATCTGGCGAGGATGAAGTTCTTTTGTCCTGAAGGAGACCATTTGCTGCTAATGAAGATACATAAAGCTTATCAAACATCTAATGAAAAGAAAGTAATAATAATAATACTACTAATAATAGTTTTAGATGTACATGTACATTTATAGTAAACTTGATTAGATTTTGAATGATAGAGTACTTTTTAAATCGTCATCATTTTCCCTTCTTTCCTTTCTCTCTCTCTCTCTCCTTTAGTCTTGGTGTCATGATAATTACATTCATGCAAGGAACATGTCTACTGTCCAGGACATTAGGAAACAGCTCAAAGAGATTTGCAGACAAAACTCACTCCAACTAACCTCAAACAATGATGGAGAAAGACTGAGGAAGACCCTGCTATGTGGCTTTTTTAGAAATGTAGCAGAGCATGTCAGAGATGGGAAATATTTAACTGTAAGTTTGTTGTTTATTGTTGTTGTTGTTTATCATTTTTGTTGTTGTTTAGGTGTTGTCAAGACAAGAGGTGTTCATCCATCCCAGCTCTTGTTTGTTTTCAGTGACACCTCCTCCTCCATTTGTGATGTACACCGAACTAGTTCACACCACCAAATGTTATATGAGGTTAGAACCATTCTCTATTGGGCCAAAGTCCCTGTACTATAGTACAGGGCATGGGCCATTTTACTAAAATTTAAAAGTAGAGAATTCTCCATTTTTATAATGTTTTCTGATACATATACATGTACTTATACCACATAGAAATTTTGAGCTGGTTCCGATCAAATTTGAATTTTTTAATGAATTTTTAAAGTTGCTTCAAAATTGGGCCAAAGTCCCTGTACTATAGTACAGGGTCACAGGCCAAATTTCGCCAAAAATGAAAAGTAGAGAATTCTGTATTTTTATAATTTTTCCTGATACATATGCATGTACTTATGTTGTGTAGAAAGTTTGAGCCGGTTCTGATCAAAATTGAATTTTTTATGAATTTTTTAAGTTGCTCCAAAATTGGATCTTCCTCTACCTAATCTTCCCTTTTGTCATAATGGTGTCTCATTTTAATTTCTCTTTCCTTCTCTCTCTCTCTCTCTCTCTCTCTCCAGGATGGTGTCTGTTATAGATCCAAAATGGCTATTTGAAATAGCTCCAAACTACTTTCATAAAACAATGACAACAAACATGATACAAGATTGAACTCACTCAGTCATTCACATTGTAACATTTTGTGATCTAATCAATTCAATTTTTTGTGGCAGCAATGCCACCATTTCTTTACACAATCCTAACTCTTCAGTAAATACTTCTTTGATCTCTTCAGTATGAGATTCACAATACTCGATCAACCATTTATAGGACTGAATCGAGGTCTCCAAATTCTTGATCTGTTCCCCGGGGTTTCCCGCTAAAAGTTTAGAATACAAGCGAGCCACGTTGAGCTTTGACGTGAGATAAGAATGCAAGTACTCGGCTTCTGGTTGAGTCTCAAAACTTGAGAAAAACTCTCCGTAGTGCTTAATGGCATCATTGAGTAGTCGGTTTATTTTTTGGATTTGATGCTGTGAAGGAGAAGATCCTTCTTCACTGGCTAGTATTATCTTATTATTAGCCATGTCATTTAGCGTGTCACCTAATTCAAACATCAGCTGGCGATTGAGTACAAGATAATACTGAGGGTTGAGACAGGAGAGAAGAGAAGAGAGGATGTCGACACGACGTTTGTGCATCCGACATTTTAAAGAAAGGTCTGACTCAAAGAAAGAAAGGATTTTATAAAGAGATGAGTGATCTTGAGAAATAGAGACGAAATCGGTCGCGTGGTCTTCTAAATTATAAAACTTCTGAGCCAATTTAATCTGTGCTTCAGCAAACAAGAATACCTTAGATGCGTCTTGATAATTCTCAACTACATCACAAGAAACTTGTCCCTCAACATCAGCTAACTCTAACGGCTCAAACCTGTGTACTATAGCAACCTTTTCCCTCGTACCACCACCTCCTCCTCTTTCTCCTGATTCAGTACAAGAATGAGTCAATAAAGATATTGTATACTTGATCCAACATCTGCTAACATCAGCTTCACTCTGCTCCAGTTTCTCTTTCATCTCCTCTCCTTTTCCCCCCAACTCTTCGCTATAAGAACGAAGGACTACACTAGCAGCTGCCAGACAGTGCCTAGCCTGAGGGTAGTTAGACACATTGATATAATACTGAGATATGGTCGCTGCATTGAGTGACCATTCAATGGGGTCATAACTCTTGGTCTCAAGCTGACGTGAGAGAGTATTCTGACAGTACTGTGCTGATAATCCCGGCTGGTCTAAGTGAGTATAGACCTGAGCTAGGTAGAAGAGGGTGTGTGTGTGAAGATCTTCAAACGTCTTCTCTCTCTCTCCCTTATCTCTGATGTCACCAGTGAACAGATCTTCATCAGACAGTGGTGGAGGATGGTGATACGACTTGTACAATGTCTCTCCTTGTTTTAAAAGCTCTAGTGACTTCTCATATTCCTCACTTCTATTCGACCACAAGATTCCAAGACCGTTACAAGCGGTTACCATAGCAAAGGCAACACGCCCCTGAAATTCAAGAGATTTTGACAATTCTAAAATAGATTCATATTCTCTCTGTCCGGCACTAGTTTCATCAGTATTGATGTAATTAGCGGCTAAGAGAGAAGAGAGAGTGATTAATAGTGGGTGCAGACTGTCGTTAATTTCGGGCGGGGCCTGGCCTATCTTATCCTTAATTAGTAGGAGGGTTTTACGGGCGGAGTAAAGCGAACGATAGGGTTCCTCCTCAGGGTCTTTCCCACTCTCTTTGATGTACGAGAGGTACTCATCATAAAGTGGTTTAATCTCTTCCTTTATCCATTCGATAAGTGTTGAGGATAGACTTATATAGTCTTTGGAACCGGAGGCCATTTTATTTTGAGTTTTGAGACCTTGAAGGAGGTGGAGTCAATTCGCGTAATCTCTCACGCCAGACACTCTCAACTTCACGTAGACACACTCCCTCCTCAAACGCCTCCTGTCCACCCACACCCTCTGGTAATGGAGCCTCTTGGGATGGAACCTATTAATTAAAAATTAATTACATAATTAATTGACACCCAATATCAATTATTATTATTATTGTTGTTATTATACTTACTTCTATATCAAGTGTTGGTAGTTTACTGTTCCTCCAGTCCTTATCTATTAGTCTATAATCTAATAATTTATTATTTTTATGTCCTGCACTCAATTTACTGTCCTTGCTGATGCCTTGCTCATCTGCGATTGGGTGTGGTCAATTGTGAGGGCGTGGTTTGTTCATTGCAGATATAATTATGGCGAGATATGGTTGCACTTTAAAATCTATGACTTAATTTCTTCCTAAGTTCTTCTAGCTCTGTGAAGATACCAATGGCCGAGGGGTTTACTTTAATGAGGCAAAAAAGTGTACGAGACTCCAAAGATTCCAAGTAAGACTCCAGTATGATACATACTCTGAATATATACTACTAAATTTACTCAGAAAACTACAAGAACTCCAAAAGGACTCCACAAAGGCTCCAAAGGGAAGTATACAAGACTCCAAGTTCGTTCTCGAACTCGTTTCTGACCCCTCGTCCATCACAGATACTACTATCCTGCTTAGTTAGTACATGTAATACTATTTCTGTCTACCAATATGACTTCTACCTTCAGATATTGAGCACCTTGATAGAGTCTTGTCAGAGTTGGAGCATTTTGCTGATGCTGAATGGGAACATTTTGGGCTCAAGTGTGGCCTGCACTATAACACATTGAAAAGAATAGAAAGTGATACTGGGTCTACTAAAAAACGTTTCAGAGAGTGCGTGGCTTGCTGGCTGAGGAGAGAGGATGATGTTGATAAAAAAGGAAAACCAACTTTACAAAGGTTGGCTGATATAGTGGAGGTTACTGGAGACAAAGCTGCAGCAGAAAAAATCAGGATTAAATTCAGAGAAGGTAATCATGAAGGTTGGTAGATCTTACAGTCTGGTTGTCTAGTTGTCAACTAGGGAGGTGCTCTTGTAAGCCAGGACATACCCTATAGGCTGGGGAATGGTCTGGCTTGCAAGACTAAGGTGCTTGGATTATCGATTGTTTTTCCGCCATAATTATTATTGGAGCGAGCCAAAGCGAGCCCCACTAAAGGCGGGTTTTCAATATGATGCATGCACGTCCGTCACGACTGGAAGTGCTGTATAAACTAATGGGAGCATGCATCAGATTAGAAAACATTTCTATTCTGACGCATTGACACATACTCCCATTGGTTTATATAGCACTTCCGGTCATGACGCAACAATGTGTCATATTGAGAACCCACCTTAAGATGAGAAACGTCTGTCTGCCTTTCTGTCTATACGGACCAACTGTCTAACTATTATTAAAGTTAAATAGCCTAATCTTATATCTTCATTGAAAGCGGGTGTGGTCACAATGAAATAAAATGGCACCTATCAGCAAGTCTGATGTTATTTGCAGCGAACCAGGGGCGGATCTAGGATTGAATTTTTGGGGGGCCATAATTATATGGGTGGGGTAAATAGTGGGTGTGGTCAACTAGGCATGCAGGATTTCATTTGGGAAGTTGAAATTTTGAAGATTAGGCCTCTTAAATGAGCTCCTTTGTGGTTTACAGACTGTTTACACAGTCAAGTACTGCAGCTGTTTCACAGTTTACATAGATAAAACTAATTTTATACTTGACCAGAAAAATTTTTGGGGGGGCCTGGCCCCCCCTAGATCCGCCCCTGCAGCGAACTGTAAGTGAGATAAAACAAAACTGTTGTCCAAAGATTTCTCTAGCAGCAAGGGTTGGAAAAGTAGATACATACAATTTTATTTCTTGATATTAAAGGACTCTGATGAGATGAATGCTGCCTGCAGTGACTTCTTCAGACCGGCAGTGACTGCTTCTAACTATCTTCAATGCTGTAACTGCTGCAGAGATTCTTAAGTGATGTTACATTTAAACCAAAATGCTGTATTTCAGGCATGTAATTGCTTAGCTTGCATGCTCATATAAAGATCATACAGTACATAGGCTTGCTTTGGCTCGCCCCTTTAATGTTTTACATTCGTCTAGTTATTTTACATAACATGGATCAATACTTGTCAAATATAATATACTTACTATTACTTTATATCTCTGGTGAAAGTTAAGATAACATCATAACAGCCTGCAAAGGGGCTGGTCCCCAGATATCTGCAGACTGAAGTCACTGAACGCAGATTACCCAATAATGATATTCATTAGATATTTTAGTCTCATCTGCTAGTGGCCCAATTCTGGCAATCCAATAACAATTGATACCAATACAATTGTCATGATATACTATATGTGTATGTATTTTTATAGCTATTCAGATATTCAACACTCATCATCCACTCCTCTCTCAGTCTCTCTCTGATCCTGTCAGTGTAGCTATTATGCTTCAAAGAGAGGGTGTCATAACAGGACAAGTATTGGATAGTGTGGAATCAGCTAGTCCCTCTGTTCCTAATCAACGTGAAATCCTGTTAGCTGCCATTAGAAAAGCTATTCAAAGCAATTATAGTTCACTACAAACATTTGCTAGTGTGTTGTGCAAGTCCAATGGTAATGTAGAACTAGGAACATTTATACAAAGAGACTATAGTGAGTTAATCTCATGAATTATGAATATTTTTTCTTGATTTTGCAAGTAGATAAGCATATTTCTAGTAATGAAGTTGTTAATATTACAATTGAAGAAGAAGGTATGGAAATAAAAACAATTATGTTATTATAGCAAAACTTTAGTTGAAATTCCTGTTCTAAAGAGTAAATCAAGAGAATTTAGTTCAATAAGAGCTTCACTTGGAAGGATGCTGTATAAAGTAGACAAAGCTATATTGAAGAAATCTCCTTCTATAGATGACATAAAATTGCTAATTAAATCATACAATTTAGATCTAAAGCCAAAGCTAGAAAATTGTTTGGACTTATCTGATGTATTAGATGTGGTTAAAGGAGAGTGTTCATTGACTGATATTAGTCTATTGGAAGCTATAGTTGAAAAATTTGAAGTCACTGAAGCTGAAAGATATATTGAACAATACAAGACAACACTGGAAGAGTTTTGTCATTCAATGTCAGTTGAACTTTGCTTGAAGGAGAAGTTTGATGCTGTCAATACTAGCCCTTCTCTTAAATGTGAATCAGCAACTTATGTCTTTGACTGGAGACCTGACGAAAAGAAATTGAAGGATATTACTGACATTCTTTCCAAGACGTCTGGTAAATTTGTGAAGATAAAGTATATTGATACTGGATACTCCATTGTGGTCACTTGCTCCTTCTTTCGATCTGTTATGAAACGTCTCATTATAAAATTGAGTGAGAATCTTGCATTATTAAAAGAGAGTGGTCTAATGAAGCTTACTGTTGGATACCGTACAATATGGATCAAAGACGAGATACAAGTATGTGCATGTGTACATGTATACTGTCAGTAATTATTATTATATACTGTATTATAAAGGAAATTAAGGAACCACTGGAAACAAAAACAAAATCTGAACTACCTCAGGTAAACTTGATGCATGTATATAATTTTACTTTTTTCTACTACTGTACTTGTACATCTTGATGTATTGACACTTATGCGTACTGGTATATGCCACATGAATATAACTATTATGTGTACATACTTAAAAGTTTGATTTGTCTAGGCAACAAAAGTGGCTAGTGTAGGAGAGAAAATAGAACTAAAAGTAAGTCTTTTTGCAGCAACAAAGCATTCATTATCAGTCATAGGTCCTCTTTATTGGTGACCTTGGCGTTGGAAAAACATCAATTGTCCAGTTATTAAAGAATAAAAAAGTGATTTGGTTTCCGCAAACTACAATTGCCCTTGATATTGTATCAATTGATGCTGAAACTCCTGACACAATAGTAGAAGTAAGCTGCTTTTCCTAAAATAAATCATATTTATTAATTATATTATATATGTAGCTACACCTTTATGATACAGCAGGGCTGGAACGCCACAGAGCATTGACAAGACAGTTCTATAGAAATGCTGACATTGCTATTTTTGTGTTCAGCATTGATGATGGTGATTCATTCCGCCACATTGAGCAGGTTTGGAGACAAGAAGTTTTGAATCATAATGAAAAAGACAATGTGAAGATGATTCTCATTGGTAACAAGGATGACTGTAATGAAGAGAGGGTCAACCCTAAATCAACAAGCGAGGAATATGCTGAAAAAAATGACATGAAATTTATTGAAATGTCTGCCATTATAAGATATGATCATAAAAAGGTGAACTCTGTCCTTGAAGAAGCTGCAGCTGAAATTGTACGCCAAAGAGGTAATACCAATATAGGAGAAGAAGATGAAAAAATAGATCAACATAAGCCAGAACCTGCCCCTGTCCAGCCTGCCCCTATCCATCCTGCTCCTGTCAAGCCTGCCCCTGTTAAGCCTGCCCCTGTCCAGCCTGCCCCTGTCCGGCTTGCTCCGGTCCCTGCAGCACCACAACAAGAACGGGGTGGTTGGTGTTGTTAAAGAGCAACAAAAATGCATTTATAGATCTTATAAATGTAAAGATAATATTTATAAATTATATTTGTGTGTATATATTTTATTTTTTAATTTCCATTTGAAAAATACCTTTTGTTGCAGTATAGATTAGCTCTGTTCAATTGCAATAGCCTTCATTGAGATTATTATACATAAATGTAACCACTACAAAGTGTTCCAACTGTATGTGTTATTTAGTACCAGTAATACCTGGTAGCTCAGCTCATGTGATGGGCGTGGTCGATCTGTGCATCCAAAGTTTGGGTGTGGTTCATTTTTGCAGCTAGCAAACTTTCTTGAGCTTCTCTGTTCTTCAGACTGCTTTTACTTTCTCTCTTTATTAGTGCTCTTCTTCAATGGCTTCTATCACAGCTACGACTATCCTTGGTTAGTGCATTGCTGTTGAATCTTATGATTATTTAAATCTCTCTTTTCAGATATTACACATCTTGATTTCATCTTGTCAGAGTTAGAGAACCTCAATTTTTCTGAGGCTAAATGGGAGAAATTTGGTCTTAAGTGTGGCCTTTATGAGAACACATTGGAAACATTAGAGGCTGATTATCCTAACAATGCCAGCAAATGTTTCAGAAAGTGCATTGGTCGCTGGCTGAGGAGAGAGGATGGTGTTAATGAAAAAGGAGAGCCAACTTTAGAGATATTAGCTGATATAGTGGAAGAGACTGGAGATAAAGCTACAGCAGAGAAGATCAGGAGTCAATTCAAAGGGGAACATAATTGCAAAGGTCAGTACATTCTGTCGGTTGTTTTATTTTAGCTGTTGTAAATATTTCAAGCATTTTTACGATGAGTGCTGTGCCACTGCATAGAGTTATATGCCCATAACATGCATTTTTATGCTGTTACTTGTTTTTGACAATCAGTAAAGCCATAGATAAGGATGGGCAAGACTCATTGTGGTATACGTGTACATACCGGTATGTGTAAATAAAATATCAACCTGTCAGGAGGGTGTTATGGGTGTATAACACCCTCCTGATGATACGTCAATGTCCAATACTTATTTACTAATATTTGCAAATTTATAGCTGTACTGTCTACCGGTATGCCTAAGACTTCAGCACAAAGTTCTACACTGGAAGCAAAATTGGAAGCCTTTATATTTGGATCAATAATTGTGGCAGTAATGTCAATACTAGTAGCATTTTGTACTATAATAGTAGCATTAGTATTAAATTTTTTATTTACTACGGTAATTGATGTGTATGGACAGCAATTAGGTGACAAGTATAGTGAAACTCTGACAAGGTATAAGGATCCAGATATTAATAAATTCCCAGCTGCTGGTCCATCAGTCCCTGTTTATGTTCCTTTTATACCTCTGATATCAATCATAGTGGAAAAACATAAGAAAGAATTTTTGCATAGTGATAGAATTGAAGAAAAAATTGAGTTTGAAAAAATAGAAATTGATGATATTTTAAAACCACTGACAGATAAACGGCTAAGATTTGTATTAATTGAAGGAGAACCTGGTATAGGAAAGAGCACATTAGCTAAAGAGTTAACATTACAATGGGTTGGACAAGCAGATGAATATTTAACAGATTATAAAATTGTTATTTTAATTCCACTGCGTCTTGAAACTTATCAAAAAGCTAAAAACATTGAAGACCTTCTAATTGATGTTGAAAATATTAATGAGACTGAAGTAATGTTATTGATAAATGAAACAAAAGGAGCAGAAGTTCTTTGGATATTAGATGGTTTTGATGAGCTTCCACATCATTTGAGAAACAGTTCAACTTCAATATTCATTAAACTTATAAAAGGAGATATTCTTCCAAAGTCAACAGTCATAGTTACAAGTAGACATGCTGCTACTGATCCTTTGCTTACCTTTTTAGAAGATGACTCAAAACATATTGCTCTTAGAGGCTTTGGTTCAAATGAAACCATACAATATGCTTTCAGATATTTTCAAGATAAAGAAATACTTTATCAATTTTATTCTTATTACAGAGGTAATACTATGATTGAGAATATGCTGTACAATCCAATGAACTGTTTCATAATGTGTACAGTATTTAATGAGTTTATACTTTCTAATAATACAAAATACCCGACAACAATGACCGGAATTTATAATTACTATGTCCGTGCATTACTCAAGCGACACCTCATTGATGCTAAAGTAATTGATATAAACTACGAAATGCCTCAAAATTTAATACACAAAATTGACTGATAATCCTACATTAAGTGGCATTTGGAAACATTTTCATTATCTTTCCAAAATAGCTTTTAATGGTGTAATGAACCAAGAATATGTTTTTGGAAAGGAGCTTGGTGACATTCCAAAATTGAGTATGATGGACACCATCATTAGCTTCACTGGGTTTGATAAAGATGAGTCCAGCAGTTTCATACACACTACACTACAAGAATACTTTGCAGCAATTTATCTTGTAAACAATTCAGGCTCCATGTTTACTGAAAAAGACTTGAAGCAAAACTCAAATCTTGAAGCTGTCCTTGCTTTTTATGTTGGATTATTAAAATTTATTGGCAGAAATGTAGATAATAAAACAATGAGTATAATATTCAGTAACAAATACCTAATCAGCAGCAATGATTTAACTCATGAACCACCGTGTATTCCAGTTACTAATTTAATGCTTAGATGTATACATGAACGAGATAATCTTCTACATGCATACAGCACACATTATTTTTATAAGCAGAACTTTAAATTTCGCAGACCTATTATTAGCACTACACACTTAAGAGATTTGGAGCACTTTATTTGTGGTTATATTGTTGCTGCCCATAATATTACACTCAACTTTAAACCTACTTTTTCATCTGACATAGAAGCTTTTAATAAAGGACTCCAATCCCATTCGTCCATTAATGGAAAAATACAGATTAATTTCCAATATATTTATGTTGATAGCACAATCATACCCGATCTACTTACTATACCAAGGGATATAGTAGTAGGATTACAGTTATACGTATTTGATAATGTTTCAATCTGTGAATTTATTCCCAAGTTTTCATCAGTGCAAGAAATTAGTCTTGATCATCACAAGTATGATAACTTTCAGTGTAATTCAACCATATCAGAACATCCTTTACTGAAACTTAAAAAACTTGAAAAGCTGAAATTAATCATTGAAAATGCACTGGAAAGTGATTTTCAGTTACTCAAACAACTTACTGCTCCTGGAAGACCTCTTAAACAATTACACATACGTATTAAGACTTTAAAGTCCTCAAAATTAATTGAAATGCTGTTATCTTTAGAAGAATCAAGAGCTGTAATATCACTGTCTTGTATAAATCCTAGAGCACTTGGACTAAATATTTGGAATCAAAAATTTGATATGGAGCTAAAAATGAATTGGTGTAAAAAAAATAAAAGTTTAACAGTTAAAGATAACCTAGAAAATAACAAAAATAAATATCTTGATTATCTTTTAGGAGTTAGCAAAACCATACAATTAAGTTCTTTCACTTCATTTGTATATTTCTCGGACACCTATGGACTTTCTTATACTTTTGCAGTCACAATATACTCCAAACCAGTGACATCTAATCTACGTGATTTTGTTAAGGCATTTCATGCCTACGTAGCTAGTTTGATTAAAGCTAAAACACTCTATGCTGATTGTTTAAATCACAGAATAACTCGAATAAACAAGTTCATGTATGCCATAATCTCACAAACGCCACCAGATACAGACAAACAATTTCAATTTTATACATAGAATTACCGTTTTATTGTTTTTGTACATTTTATGATTATAAGAGCTAATTAGTAGTAATGTGTTCTCTAGATACAAATCTATAGTAAATGTTTCAAAATTTATTAATATTTTGTCTTAATATTGCCTTCAATGTACTCCATGAACTATCAGGGAGGGAATCTGGAGGGAGGGAGAGAGAAAGAGAGAGGAGGGTAGTAAATTGAACTACATTTCTACCTTCTGTTAGAATCTTCCCTTTTAGTATATTTTGATAATTACTCTAAAAGAACAATATCATACTAGTAACAGCTTTAACATCACACTTACATATATAAACGAGTTACATATTTCTAACAATCTCGCTATGTCTTCACAAGACAGCTCACTGAATAATTCACTAACATAACACAATGGCTTCACTAACCATTTAGCCTTGAAGAGAGAAGAAAAATTTTCTTCTCTCTTCAAGGCTAAATGGTTAGTGAAGCCATTGTGTTACCGTATAGCTGGTTTATTTCGTGTGGAATTAATTTTTGTGCAGGCTCAAATCCACTAAAATTAATTCCACTAAATTTTATTAAAACCAATTAAATATTAACAAAAATTTAGCAAGGCACTAAAATTAATTCTAATGAAAATTTAAGCAACAAAAATTTGAGGCCACGAAATAAACCAGCTATACGGTATGTTAGTGAATTATTCAGTGAGCTGTTTAGTATCCGGCATTAATTTTTCTTATGCTGAATACTAAATTAAGACAGCTAGAAACACTATTACAACCAATTTTGTTTAGCCACACCTACCATGTAAAACAACATTAACATGCTACGTTGATTGCATAGACTTTCAATTGACCTCTATGCATTTTTATACATCAAGCCTTCCTCAAAGGTCTCCTGTCCACCCACACTCTCCGGTAATTAATTAAACCCAATATTATTATTATTATTGTTGTTATACTTACTTCTATATCAAGTGTTGGTAGTTCAATGTTCCTCCAGTCTTTATCCTGCAATCAGTTCAGTTACTGTCCTTTCTCATCTGGGATTGGGTGTGGTTAATAGGGCAGGGCTAATTTTTTAGCAAGCAAAGCAAATTCTTTTTCTCATCTTGATGGCCTCGGTCACAGCTACCAGAAACCTTGGTTAGCTTACTATAAATGCTTTTTTTTCAATATATAACCTCTAATTTCAGATATCACGCATCTTCGTTTAGTCTTGTCAAAGTTGCAGCATTTTTCCAAAGCAAGATGGAAAGACTTTGGTCTCAACTGTGGCCTTTACTACAACACTGTGACAGCAATAGAAGCTAGCAATGCTGGTAAACCTGATTCTGTTGATGAATGTTTCAGAGAGTGTGTTGCTCGCTGGTTGAAGAGAGAGGATGATGTTGATGAAGTAGGAGAACCAACTTTAAAGAGATTGGCTAACATAGTGGAAGAGACTGGGGATAAATCTACAGCAAAGAAAATCAGGAGTCAATTCAAGGAACACAATTGCAAAGGTCAGTTTAAGTTAAGCTATTGTGAAGATACGCATAACTTTTTTACTTTACATATCTAGCTGATCAAACTACAAAGCCTGAACACAGTTCATTATTGCCATTGATCGTAATACTGGTAATAATAGTATTAGCAATAATAATGCATGAATCATCAATAATTGATATTCACGATGAATATGCTTCAAAATTACGTGACAAGTATAATGAAGCTCTGACTAGGTACAAAGATCCAGATGTTAATAAATTCCCAGCTGCTGGCCCATCAGTTCAGGGTTATGTTCCTTTTATACCTCTGATATCAATCATAGTGAAAGAATATAGGAAAGAAGATGCAGATTTTTTACTTACCAGTAGTACTAATGAAGTAATACAGGAGGACAATATTTTTGAAAAAATTGAAATCGAAAATATTTTAAAGCCACAAACAGATAAGCCATTAAAATTTGTAATAATTGCAGGAGAACCTGGCATAGGAAAGAGCACATTAGCTAAAGAACTAACATTGAGATGGGTTAGAAAAACAGATGAATTATTAAACAGTTATAAAATTATTATTCTCATTCCATTGCGCTTCGAAACTAATCAAAAAGCTAAAAACATTAAAGACCTTCTCATTGATGTTGATGATATTAATGAGACTGAAGTAATGTTATCAATCAATAAAACAAAAGGAGCAGATATTCTTTGGATATTAGATGGTTTTGATGAGCTTCCACATCATTTGAGAACCAATTCAACTTCAATATTTATTAAACTTATAAAAGGAGACATTCTTCCCAAGTCAACAGTCATAGTTACAAGTAGACATGCTGCTACTGATCCTTTGCTTACTTTCTTAGAAGATGACTCAAAACATATTGCTCTTAGAGGCTTTGGTTCAAACGAAATCTTAGAATATGCTTCCAAATATTTTAAAAATGAAACAGTAACTTCTGAATTTCAATATTTTTACAGTCGTAATACTGTGATTGAGAATATGCTGTATAATCCAATGAACTGCTTCATAATGTGCAAAATATTCACTCGATTTTATACATACTAAAAATAATAAGTACCCAATAACAATGACAGGGATTTATAATCATTATGTTCGTGTAATACTCAAGCGGCACCTCATTGATGCTGAAGTAATTGATATAAACTATGAAATGCCTTCACATTTAATACACAAAATTGACTTCACAAATTCTGAATTAAAATACATTTGGGAAGATTTCTATAATCTTTCTAGAATGGCTTACTTTAGTGTAATGAAGCAAGAATATACTTTTGGAAAGCAGCTTCATAATGTTTCAAAATTGAGTATGATGGACACTATCAGTAGCTTTTCTGGGTTTGATAAAGATGAGTCCAGCAGTTTCATACACACTACACTACAAGATTATTTTGCAGCAATTTATCTTGTAAACAATCCACACTTAATGTTTAATGAAACTGACATGAAAAAAAACTCAAATCTTGAGAATGTTCTTATTTTTTATGCTGGATTACTGAAGTATATTGACAGAGAAATAGGCAAACTGAATATGTTGAGAACCGATGTTTTCCGTTCAAATAATATAATTCATGTAGGAATAAGTAGTTTAATGCTCAGATGTCTATATGAAAATAATTTACTTTTACACAATAAAAACTATAATTTAGTCTCTGGTCATACATGGAGTGTTGCCAATGTGCCTATCAGTAATTATGATTACTTTATTGCTGGCTATATTGTCGCTGCTCATGATATTACTCTCAGAATTAATGTGTCACATTTAACTGAATTAGAAGCATTCAAAAAGGGACTTCAATTCCAGCAAGCTTCTGTCAATGGAAAAATTAATATTAGGTTGCCTTACCCTTTAATTTTTTCTACAGATCCTGTGGCTAAAGTAGACCTACCAAGTAATGCAGTAATAGGACTGAATTTAATGCTTAAGCTAAATATAAATTCAATTTGTCAAATTATTTCCAAGTTTTCATTATTGGAAGAGCTTTTTATTGTAATTCATCGTGAATTTGACTGTTATTCAACAATATTAGAGCACCCTTTAATGAAACTCAATAAACTGGAAAGGCTGTCAATATTAATCCTGGCTTACAAGTATGACCACATTTTAGAGTTACTCAAACAACTTGTTGCTCCTAAACGATCTCTTAAACAATTAACTGTATTTGCACAAATGGGAATAATAGATACATACATGTATACAGAGATTTTGGATTCAGCAATACAAAGCTCTTTAGATGAATTAAGAATCTATGTATCAATTGAAGTGATAGTTTTCTCGGAATCAACATTCACGTATCAACGAACACTAGAAATCGCTTTGTATAAAGAAAAAAATTTAATAGTTAATTATTATCAATTATATGTTCATCGCCTAGGAACCACCCGCAAAATACAGTTGAGATCATTTACCTCATATGTGTATTACAAGGTGAAAGATGAAATGGTTCATCGTCTTAGAATTACAATATATTCAAAACCAGAGACACCCTTAGATGATTTCATTAGTGCTTTTATAAACTGCATATCAAAAATGAATATAACTAGAAAATTAAATGCAGCTGATTACATTAATCATGAAATAAATCTAAGTGGTTCCATGTATGCTGTAGTTTCACCAGCAGATCCAGTCCCATATGATGCTGGAACGACTACCCCAACTTATGGACAATACATAAGGCATGTCAATTTTTTAAAATTTCTTATTTATACTTTGCTGGATAACCCTCCATTATCAATAGCAGTATACTACATGCATGAAGAAAGTGTAATTAAGGTACTATTAACAATAATGGAGGTACTATTAGTAATATTTATGATTGTATGTGGCATATGTTTTATGATTTCGTTATTATGTTTATTTTGTTTGCTTTTTTGTCTTCTCTGTCATATTTATATTGCCTGTATTAATTTATGTACATTTATTTATGTATTTACGTATGATCCATTATGATTCTGCAGTTATGTATTGTTGTTACATTTATTTACATTGTTACCTCTTCTCTCACATATTTTTATTATGTAGCTATAGCTATGAAATCTAAATAGTAGTAATGTGTTCTCTAGATACAAATCTATAGTAAATGTTTCCAAATTTATTAATATTTTGTCTTAATATTGCCTTCAATGTACTCCATGAACTATCAGGGAGGGAATCTGGAGGGAGAGAGAGAGAGAGAGAAAGGAGGGTAGTAAATCAAATTACATTTCTACCTTCTGTTGGAATCTTTCCTTTTAGTATATTTTGATAATTACTCTAAAAGAACAATATCATACTAGTAACAGCTTTAACAACACACTTACATATATAAATGAGTTACATATTTCTAACAATCTCGCTATGTCTTCACAAGACAGCTCACTGAATAATTCACTAACATAGCATAACAGCTTTACTAACCATTTAGCCTTGAAGAGAAGAGAGAAAAGAACACTAAATTAAGACAGCTAGAAACACTGTTACTCGATTACTACCAATTTTCTTAAGCCACACCTACCATGTAAAACAACATGTTACGTTGATTGCATAGACTTTCAATTGACCTCTACACATTTTTATACATCAATACTGCCCTTACTCTTATACATGTACACTCTTGCATTATATCTCATACACATGTACATACAATAAGTGTTGGGGATAAACTTACTTGGATCTGGCAGCAATTTGAGACCTGAAAGAAGGCGGAATCAATTTGTATAATTTCTCACGCCAGACATAGACGCTCTCATGCTCAACTTCATGTAGACACACCCCCTCCTCAAATGTCTAGTGCCTCCTGTCCACCCACACCCTCCGGTAATGTGGCCTCTTGGGATGGGACCTATTAATTAAAAAATTTTTAATAAAAAATTTATTAATTAACACCCATTATTATCATTGTTATTATTGTTGTTGTTCTTATACTTACCTAATAATCTATTATCGTCTATTATGGTATTCATTTATTCAATTTACATGCTTCATTAGATCTGGGTGTGGTCAATAGTTATAATTAGATATTTAGGGCGGAGCTAAATAGTTTTCTTCAGTGCAGTGCAGTGCAATCTACCCTTTACTCAGTCAGACTTCTTCTCTGTTGTAAATGCCACTGTAATGGCCTCCATTGCAGATACCTTTATCCCCCTTAGTTAGTAATACTATTGCTGTCTGTCATTATATACCTCTATGACTTCTACTTTCAGATATTGAACACCTTGATAGGGTCTTGTCAGAGTTGGAGCATTTTGCTGATGCTGAATGGAAAAGTTTTGGGCTCAAGTGTGGCCTACACTACAACACATTGAAAGCAATAGAAAGAGATGCTGGGTCTACTAAGGAATGTTTTACAGAGTGTGTGGCTTGTTGGCTGATGATGAAGGATAATGTCAGTAAAAAAGGAAAACCAACTTTAGAGAGATTGGCTGATATAGTGGAAAAGATTGGAGACAAAGCTACAGCAAAAAAAATCAGGATCCACAATGGAATTGTTGTCAAGGGTCTGGAAATTCACCAAGGTAAGCTAGTGAAATGAAATAAAGCCATATTTTGTTTCATTTCATTTGCTGATTTAGTTACACAATCTGTGCCTATAAATTCTTCAAAATGTTCTACATTATCAAGGTGGTTTGTGCGACTGATACCAGTACTTGTAATAATATCATTAGTAGCAGTATACATGGCATGGGCCTTTAATCCTACAGTAAATTCACCAATTGATGAATATGCATTAAAACTACGTGAAAAGTACAACAAAACTCTAACGAGGTATAAAGATCCAGATATTAATAAATACCCAGCTGCTGGCCCAACAGCTCCTGTTGTTCCTTTTATATCTTTAAAATTAATTAGATTGAAAAGCTACCAGAAGAAAGCAGATGCAGAATTTTTACATAGTGTTGATAAGGAAATACTGGAGCATGATAATTTTGAAAAAATTAAAATTGATGACATTTTGAAGCCACTAACAGGTAAACCATTAAGATTTGTATTAATTGAAGGAGAGCCTGGCATAGGAAAGAGCACATTAGCTAAAGAGTTAGCTTTGCAGTGGGCTGAAAGAACAGATAAATTATTAAACAATTTTAAGATTATAATTCTCATTCCATTGCGCCTTGAAATCTATCAAAAAGCTGAAAATATTGAAGACCTTCTTATTTATGTTGAAGATATTGATATGGTTAAAATAACTTCTTCAATCAACAGAGCAAGAGGAGCAGAAGTTCTTTGGATATTAGATGGTTTTGATGAGCTTCCACATCATTTGAGAAACAGTTCAACTTCAATATTCATTAAACTTATAAAAGGAGACATTCTTCCCAAGTCAACAGTCATAGTTACAAGCAGACATGCTGCTACTGATCGCTTGCTTACCTTTTTAGAAGATGACTCAAAACATATTGTTCTTAGGGGCTTTGGTCCTAATGAAATCTTAGAATATGTTTCTAAATATTTCAAAAATGAAGTAGTACTTTTTGAGTTTCAATCTCATTACAGTGGTAATACTGTGATTGAGAATATGCTGTACAATCCAATGAACTGCTTCATAATGTGTAAAATATTTACTGATTTCATACATACTAAGAATAATAAGTACCCAATAACAATGACAGCAATTTATAATTATTATGTTCGTGTAATACTCAAGCGGCACCTCATTGATGCTAGAGTAAGTGACATAAATTATGAAATGCCTCAAAATTTAATACGTGAAATTGATTTCAATATTCCTGAATTAATTGATATTTGGGAAGATTTCTATTTTCTTTCTAAAGTAGCTTATAATGGTGTAATGAAGCAAGAATATGTTTTTGGAAAGGAGCTTCATAATGTTTTAAAACTGAGTATGATGGACACTATTAGTAGTTTCACTGGGTTCGATAAAGATGAGTCCAGCAGTTTCATACACACTACATTACAAGATTACCTTGCTGCAATTTATCTTGTCAATAATCCTGGCTCCATGTTTACTGAAATTGACATGAAACAAAACTCAAATCTTGAGGATGTCTTTATTTTCTATGTTGGATTATCAAAGCATATTGACAGAAAAATAGGCACACTGGATATGCTAAGAACCAATGTTTTCCGTGATTCATATAATCTAATATATTTAGGAATAAGTAGTTTACTGCTCAGATGTTTATATGAAAATTATCTACTTTTACACAATCAAGACTATAATTTAGTCTCTGGTCATACATGGAGTATTGCAAATGTACCTTTGAATAATTTTGATTACTTTATTGCTGGATATATTGCTGCTGCTCACAATATTACACTCAGAATTAATGTATCACATGCAACTCAATTAACAGCATTCAAAAAAGGACTTCAATTCCAGCAAAATTCGGTCAATGGAAAAATTAATATTAGGCTGCACTATCTAGATTTTTCTAAAGCGGACCCTGTTGCTGAAGTAAACCTACCAAGTGATGCAGTAATAGGATTAAATTTAATGCTTAAACTAGATATAAATTCAATTTGTCAACTTATTTCCAAGTTTCCATTATTGGAAGAGCTTCTTATTGTAATTTATGATAAATTTGACTGTTATTCAACAATATCAGAGCATCCTTTAATGAAACTCAAAGAACTGGAAAGGCTGGCAATAGTAATAATGACTTACAATTATAAAAGCATTTTAGAATTACTCAAACAATTTGTTGTTCCTAGACGACCTCTTAAACATTTAGTTGTAGTTGTACCACTGAAAATAATAGACATCTACATGTATAGAGAGATTTTGGATTTAGAAGTGCAACGCTCTTTGGATTTATTGAGAATTCAAGTATTTATTGATGTCATAGTTTTCTCAAAATCAACCTTTAAGTATACTTATGGTGAAACACTAGAATTCATTTTGAATAAAGAAACAAACAGTTTAACATTTAATTATTATCAACTATTTGTTCATCTCCTAGGAGCTACCCACAAAATACAGTTGAGCTCTTTTACCTCATATGTATATTACAAGGTCAAAGAGAAAATGGTTTATCGTCTTGCAATTACAATATACTCAGAACCAGTGACATCTTCCTTAAATAAATTCATTAGTGCTTTTGTCAACTTCACATCAAAAATGAATATAACAACAAATTTTGATGCGACTGATTACATTAATCATACAATAAAATTAAATGGTTCCATGTATGCTGTAGTTTTACCAGGAGTTCCAGTTCCATATATAGCTGAAACAACTGTCACAGATTATAGAAATCTAGACAGAAATATTCTATTTTTTTTTGGTTTTTTTACAGGTTGTTTTGCTTCTGTTAGTTTTAACAGTTATCTATACTTTAATTGTCCTCGCCATGCATTTTATGTTATTAATTTTATTGCTATTATTATTACTTTAATAACTAGTCCTCCTTCATATATATTACTATCATATTATTATTATTATTATTATTATTATGTACGTGTAAATGTACCGGATTATTATTAATGGCCCTTATAATATTGCTATTATTATTCATGTTTTATAACATTTTGATTTAAAGGTGGAGTATTTATTATGTAGCTAGCTGTGATTTAATTAGTAGTGATGTGTTCTCTAGATACAAATCTATAGTAAATGTTTCCAAATTTATTAATATTTTGTCTTAATATTGCCTTCAATGTACTCCATGAACTATCAGGGAGGGAATCTGGAGGGAGGGAGGGAGAGAGAGGAGGGTAGTAAATGAAATTACATTTCTACCTTCTGTCGGAGTCTTCCAAACAATCACAAGTCGTCTTAGTGGGGCTCGCCCATGCTCACTCCAATTATTTTTGTTGTTCTACATACTTCTATATCAAGTGTTGGTAGTTTACTGTTCCTCCAGTCCTTGTCTAATAGTCTATAATCTAATAATTTATTATTTTTATGTCCTGCACTCAATTTACTGTCCTTGCTCATGCTAGGGCTAGGCAAATTATGCTAGCATAATTTGGAGCATAATAGGGCAAGTGATTATCCTGGCATAATGNGAGCATAATTCCTTAATGGGTCAAAAAGTCTGGCTGACCACATGATTTTAAATACTAGATCTAGATAGTAAAACAGCCCAACTGCTTACTATACTGACCTCCTCAAGCCATGCAAGTGTGGCAAGTCCAATGGCTTAGGCTGAGCTATTTTGAAGTGACTCAAAGTCTGGAAACATTTTCAGATTCTCGCATTATTATAATATTGCAGTTATAACAGATGCATGTCCATGTAACTTGATAGTTGATATTTGAGTAAAGTTTAAAATATGAGTATAATAATGAGCATAATTGGATTCATTTCAAAGCATAACAGGATGGAATTTGGGGCAGTGCCTAAAAGCATAATAGAAGCATAATTTGCCTACCCCTAGCTCATCCTATGGGCGATTGGGTGTGGATCAGTCCTGATATCAGACAGTACCATGGACCATGGATTTTGGGGTAATCATCAGCCACAGTACAGGCATGCATGATAAGCATCTATACTGGGATTCAGCAATAATAGCCATCACAGCTGTACCAGTACTGATACCAGACTTGATTTAGTAATTTTGGGTATCAGTCCTGAATCAGGCATGAAAATTACTGGGTGTGTAGCACTACACAGCCAAGAATTTTATTTTGAATCATAACTAATATCAATCAGGATCAGCCTTGATATATTCCCTTTTGGGCAGCCTGTAAAGCAATCAGTCTAGTATGATATAATAATGATGATCATCCATGATACAACCATGCTGGAGTACGGCCCTGGTTCAGCCAGAGCAACAGACATGACTCAACATTGATGCCAGTCAGGACTGTATCAAAATAGACATCAGGCTTGAATCATTAATTTTGGGTAGTGGCCTGTATCAGAGATGATAATTCTTGGCTGTTAGAGTACACATAAATATAGATCATACACATATAATACACATAGATATTGTGTACTCTAATATCTATGATAAAATAGATAGTCAG